ACAAAAACCGCACTACTGGTCGAAAAAAATCCAAAAATTAGGTAAGAAATGGTGCATCTTGCGTGCTTACTTTATAGAAAATCTCTTTGCCCGGAAATGCAGTTTTCTACCACTTTTTCCTCATGGAAATTCACTACTTTACCATAAAATAAGAAAAAGACACCACGACGTCCACGCTGTCAGTTGCATCTTGAAAAATGTTGCACATTTGCCAAATCGGGGTTTTGTTGCCATTTTCTCTCAGAGACAGTTTGAAAGTATATGGTTTAGTTTTTGTGAGTTTTTTCTAGTCCGAGATTAAACCTTGCCATTATACGTGAAAAACAGTATCGTTTAAATGCACACGACGAAATTGTTATCGAACGTCTGTTTTTCTAAGACCAATTCGGTTTCTTTTTTACATCATTTTTTGGCTAAGACCACGTGTCATATCCAAGGGCAAGCCTTGAAAAATAACTTTGCTGAAGAAACAAACCGCACTAAGAGATCCCGTTAAGAAGGCCATTCTTCGTCACTAAATGCTCCAATCTCAACTGAGAAGCTAAAAGTGTATCTTGATTAAATGCTCATGAGTCGTGGTGCCAATTTGAAGGAGTTGATATTAACAGGCTTGAATTGTTCGTTCGGCTATTGAAATTCCAAGAGAATCAACAAAAGGTACTTTGGCTTGGCTCTTTTCAAGAATCTTGGTACGTAAAGTACAGGGTTACCCATTTTATTCTTGGGAAAGTAAAGTAAAAAAACACACAAAATATTCAGATGGAGACGAAAATTTTAATTCAATATAAAGATTAAACCTTGCCATTATACGTGAAAAACAATATCATTTAAATGTCCTCCACGGGACATCGTACAGGCCTCAATCCTTTTGAGGTAATTTTGAATGAATTTTCGGCACATTGCCGGTAATATCTCGGTCATAACTTCACCGATATTGGCTTTCAGTTGCTCAAGAGTTTGAGGATTGTTGGCGTAAACACGATCTTTCGCATAGCCCCACAAAAAGAAGTCTAACGGTGTTAAGTCGCAGGATCTTGCGGGCCAATTGACATCACTCAATCTGGAAATAACCCGTCCTGGAAATTTCTCTTGCAATAAGGCTCTAACTGCCAGTGTTGTGTGACTCTTTGCCCCGTCCTGCTGGTCTTCCCACCAAGTCTTCCAGACCATAATCTTCAATTTCTCTCCAAAAGTAATCGGTTAACATGCGCCCATAGCGCTCAGAATTGACTGTTATGGCTCTTCCTTGATCGTTTTCAAAAAAATACGAGCCAATAACACCACCTGAGGATTTTGAGAGCCCCATATGCGACTGTTCTGTTTATTCACGTAACCACCGATCGAAAAATGAGCCTCATCGCTGAAGAAAATTCGGTTCGAAAAATCATCATCAACGGCTTGTTGTTCAATCATCCAACTTGCGTGTGTTCTGCGTTGCCCATGGTCTTGAGGCTTGAGTTCTTGAGTCAGTTAGACTTTGTACGGATGGAGCTTCAAATCTAATTGCAAAATTCGCCACAATGAGCCGTTAGACAAGCCCAAATGTTGAGCACGTCGGGGAATCGACGAATTCGGGTTTTCCTCCACACTTTGAGCAACAACAGCGATATTTTCAGCTGAACGAATGTTGCGATGATGCACAGGCCTTACAATATCAGTAACCGATCCAGTCTCTTCAAATGTTTCCACTGTGGTCGAAATTGTTTGCTCTGTGGGTCGATTATGTCGACCGTAATCTGCTCGTAAAGCCCTGAACGTTGATACAGCAGAATCACCATTTTTATAGTAACATTTACTAATTTTTACGCGTTCTTCGACAGTTAAACGATCCATATTCCAAAACGGCAAACCTTCAACTAAAGCAAAAACGCTTCGGATGACGTTTACCTTTAACAGATATCAAAGAGCAAGGTTTTACTTTCCCAACCTCGAATTGGATAACCCGTCATTAGTTAGATTAATCTATCTTAAAATATATTCACATTTTACTAGTGATTTTTTTGTAAAATTGCCAAAAGACCTCGTTTGCGGATCATTCAAATGAATCGAAAAATGCAAGAAGCTTTCGATCACTACTAAACAATTTGAATGTATTCCTGACTCTGGAATTTGCTTTATTCGTCTGCATCAATGCCGATTTATTTTCCATTAAGCAGCGAATTAATGGCCAGAAATGAGATCATTAGCGGTCGCTTGCAGTGATATTCATCATTAGTTCATTATCTGACAGCGAAATCAGACTGACATTGATATCCATATATTTAAGTGCACATCACAGGTTTCTCTAATGGAAATGATAATGGAGTGAATTATAACGGGGTTGTTCACGTCGCTTCCATTGACCAGGCAGGGACATTTTGGCTTCTAAAACCCGGACTTGATTTTAATTTCATTTAAATCTGACTAACAGCCAGAAAGTGAATTTTAAAGCTTATGAATTACATTAAAAAGCATACAATTATACCGATGACAGGAATGTTGAATACACGTTCAGCTGGTTGGTTGTTATCAACAGCAGGAATTACTAGAATTGTCGCAATGCGGGGCGCTAGCTTCCAGTCGTAGGCCATAATGCGAAGATCGGCTTTGGTATTTTATTTTCAGCGCTAAAGTTTCAAAGATGGACCGAATATTGTCGTATTCCGAATCCAGCTTGGCGGACGTCTCAAAAAGCTGAATCAAATACCCAATTATGTAGATTTAGCATAATTTAGGTCAATATACTCAATATTTCCTTACCCGCATGTTGTGTATGTCGGCAAACCTTTGAGCCTCCTGTGTTGCAACTGTAACAACTCCATCGCATTTATTACCGACAAGAATCTTGGGGACGTCGGGCATGCAATAGGACTGCGACTCTTCCACCCATTTCACTAAAGAGGTGAAGGAAAGCCGATTCGTTACATCATAAACTAAAAGAATTGCGTCTGTTTTTCTGGAACAATGTTTGCAAAATGTTGGCAAAAATGTTCGGCCTGCATGTAAAATACATACCTGTAGTAATGAGTAGCCATGGACATTCTGAACCTTTCCTGTCCAGCAGTATCCCATAGCTCTAAAGTAATCGGTTCCCCATCGATTTCTACAATTTTACGTCGAAAATCCACACCGATTGTCGCTTCCGGCTTATCCGTAAATGCACCCTCACAATATCTTCAATTTAAATTAGGTAAAAATTAGGATGTTGATGAATAGATAAAACGGATGCTTGTTTCTCCCTTCTACCTTTGGCTTGAATTACTTAGAAATTGAATAGCTATCTTTGGCTATTCATTTAGCTCGAATTAGAAAAAAATAAAAAGGTCAAAGATGGTAAAACTGGTAAAATAAGGTGCCATGACTGTAAAACAATATCATCTTGCACATGATTATAAACTATTGACTTGCCTGAGCAGTATCGGTACTTTGGTTTCCTTATGAAAAAATAGTAAATTTCAGAGTCCAAAGAGGACAAAAACCGCGTCTCGTCGAGAAACACCACTGAGATAATCCAGGAATTTTTTTTGCGCGTGTTTTTAAGTGTTTTTTAAGGTAAAACAAGAAAAAACTCGTTAACCCTTGTTCCTACCTATATGTTAATGTAGTCTTCCCAACATTGGAATCCCCGATGATTATAACTTTAAAAGTGTTTCTACGTGGCGAATTAGCCACTAGTGCCATATTTTAAACAATACTTTTAAACTGTGTTAATAACTTATCTTCATCTAAGGTTAATAGTGCTTGACTGGTTATCACCGGAGTATCTCTGGTAAAAAGTAACAACAGAGACATAGATGTACACACAAGATGAATAAAATCTTAAGAACTTGTCGCTGATGAAAAATTCTTATAAAAACAAAATTTGTGCAAATGTCTAAACATCAACAAGTTTTGACATTAGCTGTCAACGCAGACTACATCCTACTGTCATTTGTCATTTTGAAATTCAGTGGTTGCAAGAAGCCTGACTTTAAATTACCTTCGATAAAATTTTTAGTTTTTTTGCGTAAAATCTTCCAGCATTATTTTTCAAAAAAAAATATAATTTTTTATGCACTGTTTATCGTTTCCTATCGTTTCCAGCGACGGGTTTTTTTGCTAAAATCATTAAAATATATGTATAACGTAGCAATGCATGGATACACTTCTGACAACCCAAACACATTTTATAATGGCAACATTGGCAATAGAACGTCAACATGTCAAGAAAGTTGAAGTGCAGAAGACAAGTGTACATAAAAATCGAATAATTCTAATTATTTTGTAATGTAAATAGCCAGAGCAAGCACTGTACTTAATTATGACATATTAAACTAATTTATCATTCAACGAATGATGGCAGCTGCGGCACCGCAGGAATCCGAGGCGGATTTCGACGGTTCCGCGTCAATAAACAAACCCTCAGATCTTGATCAAGACTTTGATTTTGTAAAATCAGAAGAACCTGGGGCTGATGCCAAACAGACTAATGGAAGTGCGAGTACAGCGGAATATACAGAACTCGATAAAGGTAACAATATACAACAGCTACGTGCAGCTTTGTGGCCAGCAAGCAAGGAATTAGAGCATAACAGACAATAAGAATTACAAAGTAAATGTTTGTGCTGCTACTCAATTCTTCTGTTATTATCATAGTCCTCTTCCATTTAGTACTCTTGTGACAAATTTTCACTCACATTTTATAGAGTAGTACAAATAGACTTAGTAAAAATATGTCTGATTTTAAGATATGCATAGAGAAGATGGTCCATCGCTGAACACCGATGATGAGGTGCGAGTGCAACATTTTCTAGAAAGCAGTTTGCACTTGATGAATGCGGTGTTTTCAGGACATTCTTCCGATTACAGCCACCCTAACTCTGGAGTAGGTATAATCCGTAGATTGTTCGAAATTTATTGATAGTTGCTATATTAGGGCGAACACTCGAAGCAGTCGAACGATTCTGAGGATAGCGATTCTTCCAGCTCGTCCAATGAAGATAAAACGCAATGCCAAATATGCCAGAAGATATTCGTCAATGCCCAGCAGCTGAACCGACATGTTCGAGCCAGAAGAATGGACGATAAGAGGTTTGTAGGAGACGCAAAATACAGAAAAATGCTAGAGATTTAAGGCCAACTTTTCCAGGTATAAGTGCTGCAATTGCCAGAAGGCATTTCGTGATAACACTCAGTTGAAAGTGCACGCTAGAAAACATACTGGGGAGAAGCCATTTGAGTGCAAAGTGTGCCAAAAAAAGTTCACCGTTAATGGTAACTTGAATAAACATATGAGGATACACACAGGTAGGTTTAACTAATGGACACACGTCAAAATTACGCAGTTCTTCTGTAGGTGAAAGGCGATTTGAGTGCACGGATTGTGGCAAGAAATTCACCCAATTTGCGCATTTGGAAGACCATTTAAAAACCCATTCGGGTATGCCATTTAGTTATCTTGTATTAATGGTTTTTTAAGCAATGTCTTGCAGGCGAAAAACCCTTTGTATGTGAATATTGCCAAGGGGCTTTCAAGACAAAGGCCAGGCTTCGTAAACATGAAAAGAGTCACACCAGTATTGCACCCACCCGAAGAACAGTCAAGTGCCCCAAGTGCGACATCACTCTCAAAAGTAATCGCCAGCTTGCTTGTAAGTATTAAGAAAATTATCGTGCTGTGACGCAAAAAGGTAGGATTTAACAAGAATTGAGAAAAACAGCAAATTTGGAGAAAGCCGAGCCATTCGAAGAGTATAGAAGGATTCGCAATGGGGATCACTCGAGGCTTTTTCAAAGGGATGGCATATTTGTCCGACTTACAAAAACAGTTGTTTTGGTGCTTCACTGGGCGCAAAGGAAAATAAACCAAAGACCTTAAAGGTTTTTATTAAATGCTTGAATGGTCTTAGTAAGGCGAAGAAGCCGAAATCATTGAGAAGGAAGTAGAAAATAACCACTTCCAGAACCCACCAGAAGTGTTGGACTACCCTGATTGATAACTTAAAACCAAAAGGGATTGTTAACGAGAAGATTTTAGGCATCAGGGACGAAGCAAATAAGACAAAGTTAAAAATACATTATTTTAATGCACAACCTAATTAATTCTCCAAGTTTTCTGACTCCAAATCATCTTCTCTAGCGCACCTGGCCAGTCACATCGAAGAAAGTGATGGTCCCTTTATTTGCCATCTTTGCGGCAAAGTGTTCTCCAAGTTCCCAAACCTCCAAGACCACCAAAAAAGCCACTTGGAATTAAAATCGTTCTTCTGTGAGTTGTGCGACAGAAACTTTGCAACTGGCACTCACTTGAGACGACATATGAATTCGCATTCAGGTAATAATGAAGCAAAGAAAACCTTTCTCAATAAACATTTAACCCTGCATTTCACCAGGCTTTCGGCCATTCAGTTGCAGCATTTGCAACCGAGCGTTTCCATCGTCGCAAAATTTGAAGCGTCATATGATGACTCATACTGGGGAGAGACCTTTTGAGTAAGAGCTAGGTCCAAGTCATTTAGAGAAATTCTCCTGCACATTGATATGTTTCAGCTGCACGGACTGCGGCCGAAAATTCCTGACACTGGAAAACCTGAACAGACATAAACGGACTCACACAGGTGAAAAACCGTTCGCCTGTGTAATATGCGGCAAGGTATTTGCACACAGGTAAATACCACGAAGTCGTACGGCTAAATCCCAGACAATTAAAACGTATTTTGCAGCACAACCGCTAAGGAACATTATCGCTCAGTGCACACCATGGAAAAACCTTATGGATGCATGTTTTGCAACCAAAGTTTCTCCATTAGTAAAATGCTCTTTAAACACGTAAAGGTGAAACACCCGGATTTCTTTCCTCAGTTTAAAAAAGAGCAAGGTCTGACCCCGAATGTAAGAAAAGCAATGGTCAAATTCAGGAACGGTATTAAATGCGAAGATAACGATTTGAAACTTGAATTCACCGCCATGGACGGTAAGAACCTTGGCAAGTAAAATCCAATCATGTTCAATCACCGAGCGTTTTTCTCGCAGGCTTTGCGGACCCACTCAAAAAGACCATCAACCTAAACTCCATTCGAACTGAATCAAGTTTGCGTGTTAAAGAAGAACCAGTTGAAGACTTAACATCCGATGAAAATATCGAACATGACAATGTTGGTAACCAGCTACCGATAGAATGCAGCATTGTTCCTCAAATAAAATCGGAAACGTTGGAATCTGAATGCGTCCCTACCATTCCATTGAACGGGGACAACCAGGAGGTTTTGGTGAAAACCGAAAATTCTTAAATCGCAGATAAATGCATTCAACGTCTTATCAAGTTAAATCTAGAGTATTTTTGAAGAGCGTTTAATTAACGTCGAGCATTTCGTGAGCCGTTTGTTGAATGCGGAAATTGTACATGTGTAATGAGAGTTTAAACTGTAGAGAAATATAAGTTAATTAAGATCCCAAAGAGTTTTGATTGGCCAAAGAGAACACTGCTCCTTAAATCTGAATCATCGCCGAAAATACGATATTAACTAATGTTGGGTTTTTCATTTTGTTGGCCGGCTAAAGAAAGAGTAAACATACAATAAAGGGTTTCTTAAACGGTATATTTAATTTGAAACCATTACCAAGCCTTACATGGATTGACCTGACGTTCAATTAATGTAAGACTTGGTTCAGAACCCAAAACCTGCCTCGATTGAGTGATGAGTCTATGCCTCATCCTGGACAACTGTAGTCTTCTCAGATACATACAATCCATCTAAGAATTTCCTGATATCTTTATCCTTGACTGTGGTGGACTGTTGAATGAGGGCTGCGGATCTGGAAACATCTTCTAAAGAGTTTCCTTCAATGATCAGCTCATCTTTTTGGGCTTTGGAGTTCTTCACAGTAACACCAGGTGCCATCTTTACCCTGTAAACAAGAAAATGATATGGTGATACCTTGAATTGATATTAGTCCAAACTGTTAATAAATTTGTCAGATGAAACCATATTTTAAGTAGTCGTATTTAGGATGAGAATAGCTTAAATTTCCAATGATTTCTGATCGTAAAAACTATTGTTTAGGAGAGAACTTGACACGTGGAACCCGGTTAATTTGCTCAAAAACTGCTCGAGTTGAAATTTGAAGTGAAATGTACATTTTCTGAAGTAGAACGTGATCAAACGTGACACTTACCTTCTGATGTATTTCTCCCCCAAGAAATTCCTGATTTCGATTACACTGTCGCTCTCGGTAGTGACACAGTTAATGGGAAAATGGGCATACACAGCCCTCATCTTGTACTGGTACCCTTTGGTTACTCCCTTCAACATGTTTTCTACATGAGAGCATACGGTTCTCACAGCGGCCAGTTCTTTTTTAGTTCCAAACCATTTTTCTACTTTCAACACGCGAGGGTTGATCATGCGGATATCCAAAGCCAAGTGCTTGAATGACCGTTTCAGGACTCCTCGGGGCCCTCGAACTGTGATGATCCGGCTCTTGGTGCTTACAGTGAGCCCCTCGGGGATTTTCACGACCTGGTTCGTGACGATCTGTTTCATTTTCCTGTAAATAATAAATCGATTAAGCGTCACTTACAACTAGAAATAAAATGTGAGTGGAATCCCAAACTGACTCCCCAAGTATATAAACGCTGAATTTTCAAATGGCATTTTCAGTAATGAGCCAAAACTAACCTACAAGTTGGAACTTTTGCCAAACACTAAAAATCTGGGATACCTTTGTAGAAAATATCAAATCATAAATAAAGATTTTTTAGTTTTTGAGTCGTCCTTTACAAATTAGCCAGGAAAAGAATATACATACGGGGATGAATCTGGATTTCCGATATAGAAATAGTAAACACAAACCTGCACAAACCTCCAGCTTTCACTCAAAAAGAGACAGAAAAGGAATGTCAAAAGCTAAGTGACAAAAGCGGCGATGCCAGGTCTACAATAAAGTGATATGGACGTACCATAGTTGACAATTTTTCATTTAAAATTAATTATTGGATGAGCTAAATGATAAATGGAGTTTTTTATAGGATATTGCTAACGACAGATTATAGATATTTAGCTGCTATGTTCATTAAACTGCAAAAAAATTACAAATTAATGGTTATTTTTTGACGCATTTGATGAAGTTCTGAAAAACTTTTTTCTCAATATGAACCACATGCCACGCCTAATTTTAACACCAAGTTAAATGAGAGCGTAATGGGATTAGGAAAATAAAAAGCAGACTTGGTTAACTAAAAAAATGCATAGAAGGATATCAATCTGTATTTTCAATAATTTTAAAGGTTTTATATTTCCAATTATTTGTTAACTCTAATACCCTTAGAGAATCTTTTCTATTTCATGTTTCACTTTCGAGCAAGTCACATCAATTTCCCACGCTGATTTAGCCGATTGAAAATTAGAATTAATGCAAATTAAAAATTGAACTTGTTTTATTGCTTCAAGAATTTAAAAAATATAATTAAACAATTGGCTTATAAACTAAGAAATTGATTAGGGTCATCTTACTCGGCGAAACATGTAAATTATAAAAATATATTTATTCTATTCTAAGACTAAATTCCGTCGTATATACTAAATCACTTAACAAATTAAAACATGCGCGCAATTACTCGTACCAGCAGAGGAAAATTCAGAGTTCACTATTGCTTACAATCTATGAGACTGCAGACTAACTATTCGGGGTCAGAGTATGATGGCTTTCTGCACCTATCGAAACCTGAAAAAATATGAGAAGCACAATTATTAAAAAGCATTTCGTAGAAAATATAACTTACTTCCTCTGAATTGCTGCCATCGGTTCCTTCGAAAGAAAGATTTAAAGTAAAAGATTCATTTCCAATATGCTAAAAAAAAAACATTTTGCTCTCATAACAGAATTATGCCAAACAATCAAATTGACCTTACCTCTGAATATTCCTCTTGGAACTTATTGATAAGAATGTCTCTAGGCAAAGCACCATTTGTTCGGAATGGCGTAAAACTAAACCGCCTCTTATTCGGGGTATCGCCTACACGTTCTGATTTTGTCAATTGTGAAGACATAGTTTTTCCAATGTCCTCGATAGCAAGCAAAATACTGTTCGTATCTGATGCGTTCGCTTCGATAAGGGCGCCAAACTTTTTAGTGTCTTCTTGAAGCGAATGTAGCCGCTCTTTCTGGCTTTGAACAAAGGCTAGTTCCTTACTTAGTTCTCCAGTTAACTGCAAAAGTTAAGCATATTGTTATATACAGGGTGATTCAAAATTGGCGTCATTCCTTTCAAGGGGTGATAGAGGCTCTCTTGGGGAGCATGAGAAAAATATTTAAAAAAAAATTTTCAAAATTTCTAGAAGATATTAATACAGTTGAGTTCGGATATAACGAACTTGAAAAATGAAATAAAACTGGTTCGTTATATCCGGAGTTCGCTATAAGCGAATAATAATACAAAAACACGTGGTGTATTTTATTTCGTTATTTTTACATAGAGTAGTAGAAGTTAGTAGGTATGACTAAAAAGAACACAAAAAGATAAACAAAATTCAATCTGAAATCTACTTCATAAAGTCTGTAATTTTTGTTTCTACATTTCTGCTGCAAAAATAGATGTTATTTATGTAGTTTTCAAGATCACAAAATGACTCCCAGACATGATTAGGAACTTGGCGTGATTGTAGAAAATTCCGAGTTTCTGACACTTTTTTTGTCATTCCAGAAATGGTTGGAACAGCATTAGTGTCTACAGTAGAATACGTTTCACCTAAATCGTCATCTTTCTCATTATCGCTTAAAGCTGTAGATGAGGTT